CCATTAAAAGTGACTGCATGCCTTCTGCATGCCAGGCTTGGTGTCAAGGGCTGGCGATTCTGCATTGCTTAGGGCAGGATGTCCAACCTTATGGAGTTCTGGGTCTGAGCCAGAGGTGCAAAGGAATAAGATTTTTATTATTTGTTATTTTTGAATTTTGTTTGTAAGGAACAGAGAAAGAGGGATTTTCTATCTCCTGCTTCTCTCTCCAAATACCCACAGTAGCCAGGAGTTGGTAAGGCCAAAGCCAGGAGCTTGTAATGCCAACCAGGTCTCCTAGGTGGCTGGCAGAGACTCAAGTACTTGAGCTATCTACCATCTGCTGCTCCCTAAGGTGTAAATGAACAGGATTCTGGATTGGTGTAGGGTAGCCAGGGCTCCACCGGGTATTCTGAGATGAGATGCAGGTGCCCCAAGCAGCAGCTTAACCTCTGGTCCAAATGCCCACCCAAGTATAAGAATAAGATCCTGGTTTAAAAAAAAAAAGGGGGAAGTGTCTTTAACATCAGGGGACAAATTAGACTGACTTGGGTTGGTAGATGGCAGAGTTGAATTCAAAAAATGGTGGCCTTTAAGCTGGGTTCCGAAGGCTGAAGAGGAGTTTGTCATTATGTGGGATAAGAAGCAAATGTTTTTGTAAAAAAAAAAAAAAAAATTCCAGAGTTGATTTTAATCCAGTACAGAACACGGATAGGACAGAACTCTGGAGGGTGGAGACACTGGGGAGATGATGTGATTTGAAAAAGACTTTCCCCTTCTGGCCTTTTTGCTGTTGCTTCATTGTCTTTGAGGCTGCAGGAAAAAGTACTCTGTGAAGGCCTCTTTGATGTGTATGAATTATTCATCATTAAGAAGTCAGGCAGCTGACACTAGTCTTTGTTGGAGCTATTGAGCGTGGTCTGGCCCCCTGGAAAAACTTCTTTTTGTTCTTCTCCGCCTTGTGTGAGGGTCATCTGTGTGTGCGAAGGTCACGGTCATCTTTTCGCTGACTGATGCAAATCAGAGGGTGTTCTGAATCCTCATGTTCTGTCATTTTCCTTCACTCTTTTATTAGGATGAGAACTATTTGTCGGTGGAGACACACACACACACACACACACACCCCAAAACAGCACAGGCGTAAGGGCTGCTTGCTTCATTAAAAATCCAAAGCCTAGTCAGATGGAAAGACGTGACCACCTAGTCCATTAGCGTTCTTGCTCTGACACAGGCAGCTTGACCCGGGAACAGCCGGAGCTAACGGGATGTCTCATTAAAACAGCTTTTGTCGGAGCGTTTCGCCCCCATTGAATGTTCTTTGGAGCATTGTGCCGGATGTGGGGCCAGGAAGTCAGCTGTCAGCTCTCAGGGCGGAAGAGGGTAGGTAGGGAAAAGACTTCAATGGGTGCAGAAGACCACTGTGTTCTGTTTACCCACACCCTCTCAAAACTCTGGGATGTCGTCTTCCAAACCTGATACCAGTATGAGTCAAATCTGCTATTTAGTACATGCTCACTGGGTCTGGGTTGTTATATGCAATGCTTCAGATGCATTTAACTCCTTGAACCCTAGACGTTCTATGAACAGCATTATTTCTGTTCCCATTTTACAATCAAGAAAGCAAGGCTAAGACCGAGTGATGTGCTCCAACATTAAGAGATAGTATCTGATAAAATCGCTCCTTGTGCATGCTCTTTCTACTATTTCATTGTGCTTCTCACTGCTGTCATCTCCACTGTGGATTAAGCAACAGAAAATAAATTCAACATTATTAAGAGCAATTGCAGTGGTTGGGGTCATCATTGTTATTAAAGTCAGCACTTGAGTAGTGCTTGCCATGTATTATGCCCTGGACTAATGAATTTTTTCCTTAGCTCCTTGAATCAGTTTACAGCCTCATGCAGCAGGTTCTTTATCTGTTCCCATTTCACAAATGTAGAAATTCAGACTTAAGCCAGTTAAATAACTAATGTTGGCCAGATTTTGAACACTAATCTGTCTGAATGAAAAACAGAAGGAAGAAATGATGGTAAATTAGACTGGGGTGAGGAACAGAGAGAAATACACAATTTTGAATGATGCATATGGTGTATAATTGATAAAAATTGTCATTTTTTTGTCTAAGTATAAGTCAATGTAATAACCTTTTGTTGAATAGCTATCACTATAAGGCATTATGCTAAGCCCTGCATATGTTCAGGACAATACCATGCAATCTCATAAAAAAGAGAGTGAATGAACACATGAACATGTGACACATGAACAGAAGCGATGATGCGGTGATATGTTTTTCATTGTGAAATATTCAAACAACAACAGCAGCAACAACATGTATATGGCCTTTGCCATATGCAACACATGCTGCTATTTATTTTATTTTTAAAATTTCCTTAGGTGTTTGAATTCTTAAGTGACGCTATCATTCCCATATGGTCAATGAGGGAAACAGAGGCACAGAAAAGGTAATTGATTTCTGCAAGTTCATAGAGCAAGCCAACTACTCTGGGAGCAAAGGTAGGGTAACAATGACTTCCGGTTGGCGGGGGAAGTGTGGGATTATGATTCCAAGTGATTCCTTTAGAGAAATGGAATTTGAAATGGGAGAATTAGAATCAATCTTCAAGTAAAAATGAGTTAAGTACCAAAAACAATAGGGGGTTAGTGTGAATTTTCTTTCCTCCTATTACACTTGGACTCATGCAAATTACTGAATAGAATTAATGACTCATTTTGAAGTCTATTTGCACAAGCCACTGAACCTTAGTTTCTTCATGTAATAGGTGTGCATACAAACATCTCTCTGATTGAGCTGATGTAAGGGTTAAATATGATCAGGCAGCTACCAGCCTTAGCAAGATCTGTCTGAGACACAGTGAATGCTTGAGAATTGTTCATGGGCTTCCCATGCCCCCTTCTGTGAAGCTCTGGTGGCCCTGAAAGCACCCCTCAGCTCTCACCCCCTTCAGGGATTCTCTCAGTTACAGATAACCATATTGGTCAAGGTCAGAGCCCTTTCTGGGGTAGTCTACATCCAGGGATTGGTCACTGTAGACATTCAAAGTCATGACCATTGACACTGATTCAGAACAATTCTGATGCTATCTCTAGGGTTCCTCTTGGGGTCAGCCAAGTCTGTCATTTTGCCTTTATTATACCTTGAATATTTTTCTCTTTGTGAAATACTGTTTCCCTTCCCTCCCTTCCACAGGTGTTGGTTCTAGGGCTGCCCATTAATAAACTCCTTGAATGCTAAACTCCATTCCAACATCAACTTCCCAGCTATCTTTAATGTTCACAAGATCCAGATCAAGCAAAGATGTGGAACATGTTGTGAGTCCAGGCTAGAGTCTTAAGATGTGTGATGGATGCCAGCTTATTAGAAAATGGCTTTGTTGTGGTGCTGTTAGACAAAGGGGCTTGCATTTGTGCTATGCTAGCAAATGGGCCCTTCATTTAAAATGTTAATTATTAATGCAATTGTGATTCTTCCTTTTTTACAAACAAAGGAAGTTAGCTTCATGTAAATGAATAGACTTGAGTGAAGTCACAGGGCTTTAAGCAGTAGAGCTGGCAGATTCTGGCTGCTAGCCCACTGGTCCTTTCAGGATGAAAGTATCTCAGCATTATAGCCCTATGTGTGCGGTTTCTCTTTGTCGGAAATTCTCTGGGGCTGTGTCACATTTGTAACATGTCCACACCGGATGGTGTTGTCTACCTTCCAGGACCTTGAGAGTCCAGAGGAAGGACTTTTATACCATCAGCATTCTCTCCTCTCTCTCTAAGGGTTGTCAGCCAGAGATGACCAGGTAAGTGATGGAGCTTTAAAAGGTTAATTACCATTAATCACTATGAGAAGGTGGCTTATTATCAATTCATAAATTCAGAATAAATTTATTTTGCTGACAAGCAAAATGTCCAAGTTGCCCTATTGACCTGGTTCCCATTTGGAAAAATAAGTGATTTTTCTCTACATTATGATCGTCGTATAAACCACTGTCTCTTCCAACATGCCATGTGGAGAAAAGCTTAATTAAATTCATAAAGTTGACTGAATTATCCCACACTTACCAAAAGCCTTTAGGATTATATGTGTATGAGGGTCTAGGCAAACCCAGATGTACAGTCATAAGGTTGTAAACAGAGACGCATAGAGGTTGTCAATCAATATCTTTAAAATGTACTCTATAGTAACTCATGGGTGAATCTTGTTATAAAATTTCTCCGAAACTTTTCACGTGTGATATTTTAGTAAGCACAATGCTTACGCTTTCAAGGTCGTACCCTTCAAAACTCAATCCATCCAGGCTTCAGGTCACAATTAAGCTATTACTGAAGCCATGCTTGTCTTTCATCAGTTTCTAGAGTTTATTTGTTAATGGCTTTCATTTTTATAAGAGGACTATGAAGTAAAAAAAGTGATCCAAAATACCATAAATAGGAAGAATAACCAATGACTACCATCTTTAAAATTCTTATCATACATCATATACCATGGGCGATGCACTGTGATGGTTAATTTTATGTGTCAACATTACTGGGCCATAGACAGCCCAGATAATTGGCCCTACATTCTTTTTTTTTTTTTTTTTTTTTGACAGGCAGAGTGGACAGTGAGAGAGAGAGACAGAGAGAAAGGTCTTCCTCTGCCATTGGTTCACCCACCAATGGCTGATACGGCTGGCGCACTGCGCTGATCCGAAGTCAGGAGCCAAGTGCTTCTCCTGGTCTTCCATGTGGGTGTAGGGCTCAAGGACTTGGGCCATCCTCCACTGTACTCCCTGGCCACAGCAGAGAACTGGCCTGGAAGAGGAGCAACCAGGACAGAATCTGGCGCCCCAAATGGGACTAGAACCCAGGGTGCTGGCGCCGCAGGCGAAGGATTAGCCTATTGAGCCATGGCGCTGGCTCGGCCCTACATTCTAAGTGTTTCTCTGAGGGTTTATTTAGATGAGATTAACATTTACTTATTTACTTATTTATTTTTAAAGATTTATTTATTTATTTGAAAGAATTACACAGAGAGAAGGAGAGGCAGAAAAAGAGTGGGGGGGGGGTGTCTTTCATCTGCTGATTCACTCCCCAATTTGTCGCAATGGCCAGAGCTGTGCCAATCTGAAGCCAGGAGTGTCTTCCAGGTCTCCCACATGGATGCAGGGGCCCAAGGACTTGGACCATCTTCTAATGCTTTCCCAGGCCATAGCAGAGAGCTGGATTGGAAGTGGAAAAGCCGGGACTCAAACTGGTGCCCATATAGGATGTCGACACTATAGGCGGCAGCTTCACCTGCCATGCCACAGTGCTGGCCCCGAGATTAACATTTAAATCAGTAGATGAAGTAAAGCCAATTGCCCTTCCTAGCGTCCGCAGACCTCAACTAATTAGTTGAAAGTCTGAATGGAGTGAAAAGGCCAACTCTCCAATGAGTAAAGGAGAATTATTTTTCTGCCTAGTAGCCTTCAGACTGTGGCATTGTTCTTTTTGTTTATTTGTTTTATTTTGTTTTGTTTTTCCTACCTTTGAATCAAACTGGACATCAACTCTTTCTGGGTCTGGAGCCTGCCAGCCTTCAGATGATAGCTAAACTAATGGGTCTCTTGGGTCCCAGGCCTTTGGACTTGGACTAGAACTAAACTATCAGCTTTCCTAGGTCTCCAGCTTGTTGACTTAGCTTATAAGTAACAGGAGTTGCTCACATTCTTAAGTGAATCATCCAATTCCCTTATACTAAATCTTTTTTGTTATGTACCAGGATATCTAAAAAATTCATGGAAAATGTGTGCTATGAAAAAAAATCTAAGCATGGATTTCAAAATAATTTGCATCACAATAAGTTTGTCTTTCAAATTGTGTTTCCATGAACATTTTTTAAATCCCTACAGGGCATGGTAAGACTAAGAAATGCCCTAAAGTATAACCTGTATTCAAGACGTACTCTCCCTACCTCCCCTGGGCAGTAGTAGTTCAATTTCTTCTTTGTGGTCAGGATCAATCACCATAGTCACAGAGCAGCTCCCTTCTTTGTTTATTATTTTAGATGCACGAGGAATCCAAGTTGGCAAGGCAGCAGTCTTCAATTTCTGTGTAATGGAACCATTGCTGTAGCTCTTAGAAGAAAAATTCCTTCTTTTGGAACTAAAACAACTAGGCCAGTAGAGCACGGGTCACGGGAACAGGAAGGAAGGTGAGGTGGAAAGACAGGAGTAAGCCCTAGCCATGACCATCTATCTTAAAGTATCAGCACACCAACCTTTTGACTTGTAATTAAAGGGCAAATCAAGAAGCCAACGAAGAACTCAGTATGGATACCTGTGTTGTGGTATCCTCAGTTTTCATGAGTGACTGTCTTGGCCCCACCTCATCTTTTTTTTCTGGCCTCACCTTTTCTCCATAAAGGGGTAAAGAACATGTCTCTAAGAAACTGGACTCCCCCAAAACTTCATCCAGTCATATTGTAAATCTGGGGAGTATAGTATTGTTTGTAGGGTAAGCTCTTTCAAGTAGGCTCTTTCAGTAAGTCCTGCAGAAAAAAATGATTGAGCAAAACAACATCCTTATGTACATGTAATTGGGATGTTCAAAACATTACAGACAATGCAAGCCATCACTTTCGATGTTCCTTTCACCTGTCCAGCAAAAGGGTGAAAAGACCAACTGTCCAGATGTCTACCTGGAGCTGGTCCTCCTATTCCACCCTCTTCCATATCTTTGGATCAATAGCACTGGCAAGTTGGGACTCTTTCCCTCAACTACTCCCTTAATTTTGAGGGTACAACAGATATACAACACATATACACTTGGCAGAAGTTATAAGATTCGTAAGTATGTCCTTTACTTGAACATTTCAGTAATTAACCTGGATATGCAATTCCCAACTTGACTCTCACTGGGATTAAACATGACAATAGGTCTGATCTGATTTCATCATCATTTAAAAAAATCATCTATTATTTTTCACTTTATGTTTCTGTGTGGGAGCAAACTGTTGAAATCCTTACTTAATGTATACTAAGCTGATCTTCTGTATATTAAGATAATCGAAAATGAATCTTGATGTGAATGGAAGGGGAGAGGGAGTGGGAAAGGGGAGGGTTGTGGGTGGGAGGGACGGTATGGGGGGGGAAGCCATTGTAATCCATAAGTCGTACTTTGGAAATTTATATTCATTAAATAAAAGTTAAAAAAAAAAACCTGGATATGGAGTATTGAACATGGGGCGGAAGGGGAGTGTCCAAGAACATGGTATCATTGGCATTCTTTGTGATGCTGGTGTCTGCAAGGTTTTGAAGCCCAGTCTTCCAGGTGTTCTTGGAGCACTGTCCTGATTCGCTTTGGTTCTGATGATGTTCATACCTGAAATAATAGGCACCCTCTCTGAGACAACGTGGCCAGGCATCTCAGCTTCTAAATGACTTACAGCTATAAACTTCCACGTCATTCACACTTCTTCTGGATTAAATTCACAATCACATTGTTTGCCTCTTCCTTTCATTAAGAAATGTGTTTGAAGAACCTAGTTTCACATCTTCAAGGCAGTTATAAAATGTTGAATAACTATCAAAATGTTTATAAAGATTTTCATCAACGTGGGGAAGTTGATACTGTGATACTTGATGAGTAAAAAAAGATAAATGAATTCAAGACAGAAAGTATTTACAAACTCTGAACAGCTTGTTCTGAGAGGTGAGATTATTTGTGCCATATTTTTCTTTACTTTTTGTATCAGTCTCAAACTTTCTCCAAGTGGCTGTGTAGTCTCATCAGGGAGAAAAAGTGCTTTGCTCAAAGACGTTATTTTTCATATGCACTGGGTGTGATTTTGAATCAAATTAGAGCATCACAAAATGCCTACCATTTTAACTTGTCTATATCATTCCTCTGAGACCAGGCCAGTGTGAGGCATGCACCCATGTTTTAAGAAATGAAGTATGTGTCTAGCATATATTTATATCAGTATCTTTTTAGATATTTATTTTAAAGTACCTATGGAGAAGATTTTCAGATGTTCAGGGAACCCTCATGTGAAATCTCACGTAACCATGAAGGTGATCTGGAATAAGGTTGTGATATTAATCAGAGTGTTTTATTCTTTCTAATCGGAGAGAAACGCAAACACATCTGTGATCCCAATTTTTAAAACTCATTTTCCAAAATGTTTTTCTCAACATAATTGCATTTAAAATTATATTCTGCCCTAATTCCTGTAGTCTTGGAAAACTCTGGGCAATTAGTGCCCTGCTGCCTGAAATTTTTCGCAGCCACCATCCAGTTGCTGATTCTGTCCTGTGATAAAACTCACACCTTCAAGCCTGCCTTTGGCCACAGTTCCAGTCCCAGGCTGCTTCTACAGAAGGTGAATCATGCTATCGTGCTTGATAAGGGCTTGTGTGTGCAGGAAGGAATCTGAGGGAGATATTAGGGTCAAAGCAGAATCCTGCTTTGCAAGCCCGTTTTTTATTTAATATATTTCTTTAAATTCATTGCTTGTGCTGGGAAGAAAAGATTTATTCTGAAGGAGCTGCTAAGGTAATAAGAAAATATAAATCTTTTGGCTGATTGTGGAGATTTTTAAATGAGAGAGAGAGAGAGGAGAGAGAAACACTCAGGTTTCCGGGTACACTAGGAGTCAGGACATACCAGCAACTTCTTCCCCTACTTTCTCCTTAGCAGCGTCACACTTTTCTAAGGCTCATTTTGTCCATTTGTAAAGGAAGCCACATGCCTCCTCTATTATATGATATGAAGAAGCTTAATGAAATCACAGTCATAAAGAACTTTTGACAAATCCCCCTCCTGATATAACGTAGTATCAGGAATACGATCAATTATCCTGCCCGAACCCCAGGAACAATGTCCTTGTTAGGCAGGTGTGGACAGAATGATGCAGTGGGTCTTATTCATCTTTGAATACTGCTTCTGACTGGGAAATGGCTTTCCGTAGAATCTGGCTTCGTGGAAGTGAAGTATGTACCTCTAGGAGCACAGTGACAGATGATGCGCTTATCTTTGTGGCTGTCTCTGAGGATCTAAATTTCACCTTTCAAGTGAATCTCAAACATCTCATGATGAAGAAAGGCATAGCTGAGAAGAGACACCCCCCGGAAATGGTTGAATGTGCTTGTTTCCCCATGTCCTAAGTAGGCAAATACATTCGGCATGAAGTTACCTGAAACCTGCCGATTGCAGCCCTGTTCTCATACCTGGGAGATAAAGTCCCCCAATCTTTACCTCCTTTGTAACATCATCATCATCATCAAATTCGCAGGCTTTTCTATTCTTCACCTTGCTCAGGGTGGCTGAAAATGAAGTCAAAAGAAGAAATCTTTCCACATGTACCGCCTCATCCTCTTGCAAGCTTTCCTAAGCTCATTCTCTTTCCCATGGCTTCCCACAGCCCTTGAACCACCCACAAATGTCTACAAATTGACTAACCAGCTGTAGGGTGCATGGATTCCAGGGCTCTGTTCATACAAGAGGCACACTGGGCTGGGAGATCTGCACTGTCAAGCAAGAGTGAGACCGAACCAGGGAAGCGGGGCTGCCTAGAGGAAGCTTGGGGAGAGAAAGCTGCCACCCACATTTCTAGATGGAACAGAACTCATTCATTTTTCATTTCTTCATTCAACAACCATTTACGCTTTCTTGCCAGTGGATCAAACATTCTACTAAGCAAGGTGAGAGTAAGGTTTCAGCCACTGTCTCTGTCTCCCAAAATCTTCCAGACAGATAGACTTAGCCGCAGGCAATTACCAACGTGAGTGCTGAGTGGGTGGTGGAATCAAAAGCAAACATGTATCTCTGTGTTAGGTTTATAAAATTCAATAGGGGGTGTGACTGTTGAGGTGTATACTCACAGGTGTATGTGAAGAGCAGTAGAACATAACAAAGAGAGGCAATGATGTTGGAGATAGGATAACGTATTATGAAATCCGGGGCCGGCGCTGTGGTGTGGAAGGTTGCTCAACTTCTCATCCAGATCCCTGTGAATGCGCCTGAGAAAGCAGAGGAAGATGACTCAAGGACTTTGGTCCGTGCACCCATGTGGGATATCTGGATGAAGCTCCTGGCTCCTGGCTTTGACCTGGAAAGCCCTGGCCATTGTGGCCGTTTGGGGAGTGGACCATCTGTTGGAAGATCTCTCTCTCTCTCTCTCTCTCCCCTTCTCTCTCTATTTCTCTGCTTTTCAAATAAGTAAACAAATCTTACATATATATATATATATCTAAAAATCATATACATATATAATGAAATCCATAATGATTTTCATGGGGTTTCATACATTTTTCTTTATTTGAAAGACAGAGCGAGATCTCTGTCTGCTTACTGGCTCCCCAAATGAACATGGCAGCTGAGACTAGATCAGGCCAAAGCCAGGAACCAGGAACTCAGTCCAGGCCTCCCAAATGGATGGCAGAGACCCAAGCACTTGCACCATCATATTCTGCCTCCCAGACTGCACATTATCAGGAAGTTGTATAGTTAGGACAGGCACGCCAATATGCGATGTGGTAGTCCCAGATAATGCTGTAACTGCTGTGTCAAATGCCAACCCCTCAGCATGTATTTTTGAGCAAGGGAGTGATGTATTGGAGGAAGGAGTGTTGGCTAGAGATGATTGGCTATGCAGGTACTTACCGAAGTAAGAGATTGTCCAAAGCACAGTGGGTTTTCAGGATTGGAGATGTCAGCTGAGTCCTCAATATTGAAGAAAGCAGTGGCTCCCTCTGACCCAAGATTAGTGTGTTGCTCTCAGCAAAATAACAGAAGACAGCAAAGTGTCCACAGAAGGATGGAGGGTGCCTTAGGTCTTGCTTCCCACATGATATCTTGGTATAAAACTTACAGGCAGCGAGCAAGGTCACCTCACTGTGTAACCCCCTGTTTTAAAAGATTATTTAGAAGCATCCTTAGGGATCCGAGTGTAATTTTATTCAACCTTTATTTAAAAATCCACCTCTATGACGACCAATCTTTATTGGCCCCTTAGGTGATAACTTAAGACATTTCTCTCTAATAGTTTTATAACAATTTAAGTCTCAGGCTCATTCATCTCATTTTATTTCCCGTATCCATAAATGCAGTCTGGGGCTCTCTCCAGGGAAGAAAGAGGGAATCAGGGACCTGGAACAAGGGGCAGATTCCCGAGCCTCTCTGACTGCTTGTGGTTCTGCTGCACCTGGATCCTTTCAGTTACCCGAGCGTCAGCGTCCTGGGTGTGTGGAAGTTGATCCTGGGTCCTGATTCTGCTACCTGAAGGTGGCCTGACCTTAAGAAGTCCTTCAGACTCTAGATAATCATTTTGTTCATCTGAAAAGTCAAGATATGCTTTGTATATTTGTTGTGTGATCCAAATGAAATGACCGTGAATATGTCCACATATTGTAGGTAACTGGAAACATAGACCATCGTAAAGGTAAACCTCGTGTGCTTCTCCCACCCTATTCTCCTTTCCAGCTGACTGTTTTTCCTTCCTCTGTTCTCTGCATTTGCAAGAAAGAACTCATTACTGCATATTCCAGTTCTGAAAATTTCCACAGTAACTAGATTCCAGGGAGTCCAGCTTCCACAGAGATGAGAACATGCCCAACATCCCCAGTCCAGAGCCACTCCAAAACACCTACATTAACTAGAGCTTATTTGCAGCAATGAATCTATATGTTCTGGACATGCAGGTCTATAAACTCCAAATTCATCAAGAACATGAAATCTCTAAGAAAACATACATTCATGTGCAGGAAAACCAAAAGATGTAAAGGAAGAAAAATTAAGTTACTATATTATAATTTAAGCAATTCTCTTAGCTGAGGAAATGACGCTTCTTTTCACTGTTGATCAAGATACCATCATTGTTCAGAGTTGCAGATATGTGAGTATAGTTGTAGCAATAGCTGGAAGGTGCACTATATATATATGTATATATATACACATACACACAGATGTATATATATTTATATATATGGCAAGCACTGAGAATTTTAGAAGCTAGAAAAGTAGAGAGTAAATGCAAAACACTGATTCTTCAGCCAGTAAATGTAGCTCAAGGCTGGATTTTCAAATTCTTTCAACCCTAGCTAAATATAACTCAGAGGTTTGAATTACTATGAACTCATATTACATTTATCCACAGGATGAGGGTCACATATTAAGTGCTTTTCCAAACATAAAAAAGGTCCCAGGCCGTGAATTCATTCTCTCTTCAGCATATTTTGCCAATGTTTCTTTAGTTGTAAATAGCGGTGATATTTCTATTAAATTCGTTTTCTTGCTTGGTAGCATATCTACTCCAATATGATCTCATTATCTGCAAGGAAGCAGGTTCCCACTGGACCCCTCCGCATTAGGCCAGCAGGCTCCCTTGTTTATGCCTTTTAAACTCATTCAAACACGGGCAATCCTCCCATGTCCTTCAGAGAGCAGAAATTCGCCACTCCACTCCGCGGAAGATAAAGCAAACTGAAGCTAATGTTTTTCTTCCCCACATTCATATTTACTGCCTCACCACAACGCAGGGCTTTCACGACCCTCTCTGATGGGCACAAGAGCAGAGCCAATGCATTTTGTTCCGAGTGCAGCTTCCTGTGCCCGCAGATAAATCTTCTGCCCTGCTCCGTATCAAAAACATCTCGCAAGTCTAGGTAAATTATAAGCCACCACTCCAGTTTTGTCTACTAATTTTTTAATGTACATGAAATATTCAGGGTGATTTGTGAGGCATGAAATACCTCTCATGAATCCATCCTGACACCTCCCTTGCTGAGAATACATTTCCAAAGGCTGCCCGCGTCCGTTCCGGGCTGAAGTGTTCTCGCTAGATTAAAGAGCCACTGGCCGCACCAGGGCAGGGAGAAGCAGAAGCGCCACCCAGGGCTCTCTGGGTCCTTTCTTCCCCCCTGTGCTGCCGGGCTCCTGGAGACGCCACACCTCCTGCTCGTGTCTTTTGTTCTGTGACAGATTTACCGGGGTCAACCAGAGCAGGAGTAATTTTTCAGCCTTCCCAACACCTAAGACACTCATGTATGCAGGGCTTTTCCCCACCCAGGCAGGGATGAGAGGTGAGAAACGCGTGGAAGCAAAGCTCTTCATATACAAGCAACGGCACCATCCCTAAACAGTTAGGGCGGAGGTCTGGCTGGCAGGCTTCTGAACAAGCCAGATTAAAACGGTCCTCTCTTTTAGTTGACTGATGTAATGATAAGAACACAGGTCTATGTTTAGAAACTGGGGTTTGAGTTCCGGATTTATTAATCATTAGTGAGTGGCAAGACCCAAGACTTTAACCATCTCTAGCTCCATTTGCTTTTCTGAAAGTCAGAGGTACTAATGCCATTCTCACAGCGTTATTGTGAGGATTACAAGAATTAACATGTAGGTGTGCCGAGCATCCTAGGAAGTCTCAGATAAGGCTAATTTCTTTCCTTGCCTCTTTATATTTGTAGTGGTTCTTCTCACTCTGCCACCCTACTCTGCAATCAGAATAGCTTCCAGGTAGGAATCTATTCGTCAGGTCATTTGCACACAGTTTTCCTACCTGATTCTCATAGTAATACTCCCACAGCGGGTGTTCACATCCCCACTCAGCTATGGAAATAGTGAAGCTACAAAAGTTACGAAACTCAGTAAAGGGCATGTCTTCTCTACATCACAAGACTGGGGTTCTGATCCCAACGGTAGGCTTCCAAAGTCCATCTCTGCTTTTTCTTTGTTTGAGTAAAATTATTTTTATTCATTTGAAAAGCAGAGGGAGAGAGACAGAGAGAGAGAGAGAGAGAGTAGAGAGGTCTTCTATCAACTGGTTCACTTCCCAACTGGCCACAATGGCTGGTGCTGCACCAGGCCACAACCAGGAGCCAGGGGCCGGCACTGTGGCATATGGGTAAAGCTGCCCCCTGCAGAGCTGGCATCCCATATGGGCACTGGTTCGAGACCTGGCTGCTCCACTGCTGATTCAGCTTTATGCTATGTCCTGGGAAAGCAGCGGAAGATGGCCCAAGTGCTTGGGCCCCTGCACCCACATGGGAGATCTGAAAGAAGCTCCTGGCTCCTGGCTTCGGATCAGCCCAGCTCTGGCCATTGTAGCCATTTGTGGATGAACCAGCGGATGGAAAATCAGCCAATCTCTCTCTCTCTCTCTCTCTCTCTCTGCCTCTGCCTCTCTGTAACTCTTTCAAATCAATCAATCAATCATTAAAAAGAGAGAAGCAAGGAGCTTCTTCCAGATATCCCGTGTGGGTGGTGGGGCCCAAGCACTTGGGCCATCCTCCTTTGCTTTCTCCGGAACATTAGCAGGGAGCTGGATCAGAAGTGGAGCAGCTGCAACTCAAACCAGTTCCTGTATGAGATTCTGGCATTGTAGGCGCTGCTTAGCCCACTACACGCCAGCCCCCATCTGTGCTTTTTCAAATATTCCATTTCATTTTTCTTCACATCATTTGGCCTGCTTCTTGCAATTAGAAAAAAAATTCCATAGAATTCAACATTTCTCCTCTTCTTTGTCTCCTGCATTATGAACATATCTTAGGTTGCTCTGAATATATGCCTAATCAATGACTTTGGGGCAATCTTCTGAAATGAGTGTGGATAGCTACCTGCTCTACAGCAATTAGAGATTTCTTACATTGTTTCAAAATAATTGTTTAGCCCCATTTTAGCCACATGCATTCTCCTCTTGCCCTTTTATTTCTTACGATCCAGTCCAGTGTATTTATATGTTTGATGGAGCATAGGATTCTCATATCTCATAGCTCATATTATTGTCCATTTATACCTTGCTTTATTTATTCATTTGTTTTCTTCTACTTCTGCTTCTATTCATCACTGAATAGCTTCCCTACGTTTCCAGATGCATTAAGTTATTAACTCCATCCATTTTTCTCCTGTCTTCACCTACAATAATACTACTTTATGTATTAATTCCTCTCCAACTTTGTCCACCAGAAATCCAATATCTGCAGCGTATGCTTTCCCTTAGCTGCTGTGTGCTCTTATTTCAGCCTAATTATGAGCACAATGAAGTTTTGATCGTGATTTGCCAGCTTTCTCCTTCAATGACTTGAGTCATAACCTCTCGTTGCCACGTCTGGTACTTTTACCCCTTAGAAATATGAATAAAATATTACATTAAAAGGCTACCCTGCCCTACATTCTACCACTTTTGGTTTCCTTCGTTATTCTCTGCAGCCCAAGCTGCATTTGGTAATTAGAAATGACCCAAGACCTTGTCTTTTTTTTTCAGTTGCGAGAAGGCATTGTCACTGTGCTTAGGTTTCTACTTGTGTTGGCCATGTTCAGTGTCAAGCTCAGTTTGGTAGAATGAGAGAACATGAGCTGTTGAGGGGCTTTATGTGCCATTTTGAAAAAGTGGCACAGAATTGCGGAATTTCACAAAAAAAGAAGGTACTGGGAAGGATTGTTTATCAGCTGTAACATTTTGAAGAAGCTTTCTAAATCCCACTTTCCCCCTATGAAAGGTGGTTATTATGCAAACCTATGTCAACCTTGAGGAGATGTGGAATGACACAAACAAAGCAGCATTTGCAAACAAGGCCAGTACAGTTCTAGACACATAGTATCTTCTCAACCAAATGCCAATTAAAAGGCAAGCTAGAACCATGATGCCATTGACCCCTGATGATCCTTAAATATCAACACCACGTTCTCAGCTAATCTATAACTGACCACTTCAGGTGGGAAGAATCTCCAGACAACTTTCACTCCTAGAATGTTCTTTCAGTTTGGTGCAGGGCCTATCTCACAGTTCAGGGTAGCTCCATGAGGAGAGCCACCATCCGGCACCATCCAGACTTCTTCCATGCCCTCTCACCTCTCTTTCTCTTCTAGACCCCACTGGCATTCTATTCTCACTACACGCATGAAGAGTTCTTCAGATTTTGAATAAAGTTCTCTTTATTCAAATTCTCTTTCCATACTCTTGAACTTTGCTAGTAGCAGACACAGGAAGAAGTGACACATTCCGGGGATCATTCAGGGGCTGAACTGAACAGAGTACAGACATTGATTAGAGAAGAGGGGCGAAAGGAAACAGGTATAAAGGAAAATATCCATGTTTTTGATTTTCCAACATGACAGGTATCTGTGGTTTCCAATACCCCAACATCCTCTTCTCTAACCTCTGACCTGTTCAGTTGTATGTATGTATGCATATATATGCGTATGTATGCATATATACATATATATATATATATATATATTCCCCAGGGCCCCATGATTGAATGAAATATTTCCGGAACAGTCTACACAAGTGCAGAGTGGGACAGAAGGGCCACATATCTTGTTCTGCATAATGTACTCCTCTTTCTAAAAACCAAATCCAAATCAAGTCTTTAGTAGCTATACCCAGCAGCAGTTCATTTTAATTAAGGGTATAGTCAGTCAGAATTCTTGGTTTCTTTTCCCCCCATCTACACTCAGGAATTTGATTTTGGGGATCCGGGCTCAGAATGTTTCATATACTTTGATACATCTGATTCATTGGAACAATCCATCCTGATTCCAAAAAATTGAAGATCAGTCATGGAATTAAATTAGGCATTTAAAAATTCTTCTTGAGGACTCAGTTTCAGGTACTGCTTCAGGATCAAAGAATACATTGACGAAGAGGAGACATTTTTTCTTACATTAGTAGAACTTACAGGTCAAGGTGGGTACATAATTATTAAATAACTAATTTCAAAAACCATGGTAAAAGTGATATTAAAGAGGCTTATAACAGAAGTCTGATTTTGTCCGGGGGTGTCTTGAAATGCTTCCTGTATTTGTATGTAATATGGAAATTGCTTTGAGTTTTAAGCAATAAATAGAAATATTCTAAGCAATGGGAATGGCACGTGGGAAGCTCTTGAAGACAAAGGAAGTAGGGCGAATCCAGGGATTTACAAGGAGTGAAGTGTGGATGCGGAAGGAAGAAGGCAGAGGCACTACAAGTCTACAGGCACGAGTCAGGGTCTTATCGTGAAGGGATATGCAAGTCTGTTAGCAATTTTGTTTTGTTTTTAAAGAGTGATGAGAAACTAAAGGTTTGAAAGTAGTAGGGTGGGGATGGGAATGTAAATTTACCTTTTAAAGGGGAAACTGGAGAACTATAGTGTGAAGAAATGGATTCATGTGGGGACAAGAAAGGCTTACTGTACCTGATGATTGCAGCAATAACTGAAAGGACAATGTACTTTTTTAAAATTTTTATTTGACAGATAGAGTTAGACAGTGAGAGAGAGACAGAGAGAAAGGTCTTCCTTCCTTTGGTTCAGTCCCCAAATGGCCGCTATGGCCAGAGCTACGCCAATCCAAAGCCGAGGAGCCAGGTGCTTCTTCCTGGTCTCTCATGCGGGTGCAGGGGTCCAAGCACGTGGGCCATCCTGCACTGCCCTCCAGGCCACAGCAGAGAGCTGGACTGGAAGAGGAGCAACCAGGACTAGAACCAGCGCTGCAGGCGGAGGATTAACCTAGTGAGCCACAGCGCCGGCCCAGATAATGTACTCTTGAACATTGCTAGTAGCAGACACAGGAAGAAGTGACACATTCCGGGGGTCATTCAGGAACTGGACTGAATAGAGCATAGACATTGATTGGAAAAGAGGGGAGGAAGGAAACAGGTATAAAGGGTGATATCCATGTTTCTGATTTTTATATCTGGCTGCAAACCAGTTTTGGGAGAACAGGGGGTGGAAAGAGTTGCGATGGGAGAGCATGAATTAAATTTGAGGGGAGCTGATTTTGCAGTAGTCATTAATTAGCTATTCAAATGGAGACTCAGTTTTCTTTATTAAAGGACAGTTTATTTTATTTTATTTTGAAGATTTATTTATTTATTTGAAAGACAGAGTTACAGAGAGGCAGAGAGAGAGAGAGAGAGAGAGAGAGAGAGAGAGAGAGGTCTTCCAGCCACTGATTCACTCCCCAGATGGCTACAATGGCCAGAGCTGTGCATATCTGAAACCAGGAGCCAGGAGCTTCTTCTGGATCTCCCACAAGGGTGCAGGAGCCCAAGGACTTGGGGCATCTTCTACTGTTTCCCCAGGCCATAGCAGAGAGCTAGATCTGAAATGGAGCAGCCGGGACTGGAACCGGTGCCCATATGGGCAAGCAGTGGCTTTACCTGCTATGCCACAGCACCAACCCCTTAGTTTTCTTTTATCTGAAGATACACTTCTACTTTGTGTATTTTTCATTAATCTTCGTGTTCAATGGCTAGTTACGCTACCAAAGCTGAAATACTTCTCCAGAATTGCCTAAATCTTGTGTGTGTACATATTGCTGTAGGAGAGGAGAAGTGAGAAAGAGAAAGCAAGAACACAATCTCATTTGCTTCCATCTTGGTTTTCTCTTGTCAAATTCTCCTATAAACACCACAGAGAAACCTATTTTTTCTGTATTAACTATGCTTGAGGAAGAGTGTTACTTAATGAGCTTGTGTTCAACAGCAAGTTCCCAGACCCTCACCTGCCGATCTGATTTAACACTGGGTATCTTGATAAAGTAACTGCCCAATTACCAGATTTTTATAATTGCTACATTGGGGCATTGAGCCTGGCAAATAGGCATGCTTGCGACCTCTGTACCTCCTGTATTTTTCAGCCCTCCATTTTGAGTTTGAAAAATTGGCATGAAAATTGTTTTCTGACACTTCTTTTGAACCCTTAAATTATGTATCTATGACTAATAGCGATGTCTCAGGATGTACTCTCGGAGAGGAAATCTAGTTTGAAAATCTGTCTTTTGTTTTTCATTCTGCAATTTCCTAAAAAGATCATTGAAAATGTGTTCTTCACCCCCACCCTCTCTGCAGGACACATAAACGTATTCCTCTCTTGCTAACTGCTCTTTTTTCCTATTATGAGACAGCTTATTTTTCTTTTCCAGCATGTTCGTGTCTTCAAAATTAAAGCAGAAGTAGGAAAATTAAGATTCCACATTGAACAAATAATTATTAGGGTTTAAAATCAAGCCAAGGCTGCATGTGGCCAAACACCAGCCATGAGCTGTTCATAGACAAGAGACCTCTCTGAAGGTAAAGGCCGATTTTGTTCTGTGCACGTCTGTAGCACCAGTACCCAGCACAGAGCACTGTGTAAGTAGCTACTCAAACCCGGTTTGAATTGTGAGTGGTCCCAAATACTCAGTCTTGTTTCTGATTCTCCCATGCTCTGGACAAGTCCACCCACTTCATTTTAAATTCTATGCCTCATGCCTGCAGACATAATACATAAAACCAGGCTTTGAAGACCCTCTTCCTTCATGGTCCTTTTTTGAGCCTCTTCCTTAACTTGTCCTGTACTTGTGATCTCAACCTTCAACCAGTCTGAAAACAACGTTCCCCAGCCACAGCCTGCAGGTCCAGATAATGTAATTCAACCAAGATTTCCTCCTAAATCTTAGCCTTACTCCTTTACTGTGTTTGCCTGTGCATCTTGGTGATGCAGATGCTGGCATTTTCTCAGAATGTGACTCCTGCCACCTGCACACAGCCCTCCCCTAGAAACTGAGGCTTCTACAAGTTTCCAAGCTCCTGTTGTCACTCAGCCATCAAGACACACAACTGCACTCACCTGGCAAGCACACAGGCTTTTCCATGTTCGACTTGCACACCCAGCTACCTCCCAGAGCTGAATGCCTCCTCACCCATCGCCCTGGCCGTCCATCCTGCTCCTCCGTCTCCACTGGTCTGTAGAACACTTTTATGGCAAATGATGAGTTCCCAGCTACTATAAAAATAAAACAAAGACTGGGAAATCTGACAGGAATTTTATTGATGCAATTCAAGCATCAACTAAAGGGTCAAGCTAAATTATCCATGATACATCCTTTAATCAAGGACTTTTGACTACCCAAAATAAGCCTCATAAAATATGCAGAATTCAAAGTGTGTCTTAATTATGAACTTTCATGCAATGTGATCCAAAACTCTCCTAGAGTCCCAGAGGATCTGAGGTTTCATGTAAAGTTTACAGAGCAGAATGTTGTCCCTTACTGAATGGAGGTACTGAATTATTCTTTCCAGGGTGAAAGTTTTGAATGATATGCCTGAATTTCTAGAGACATGCCCGAGGATCCCATTTGGACTATTTCACAATGTCTTCATGTCTCACAAGACATTCTACCCTGGCCATGGTCTCCTCCATGGAGATTCTGGGACAGTCTTTTGAGTGAAGTTCATTCGGCCTTGTCTTGTTGAAGCCCTGTGGCTCTCTGTTCCCTGTAGGATACTATTCAAGTCCTAGTTGTGACCTGAGCCCATGACAACTAGATCCCTTCTCACTCCACAATTTTAGCAGGTGCAACATTGTTTTGTGGAGCATGGGGTTCAGGAATCCCAGCTAGTTTTCTTTCAGGAGCATGCTAATTATTTACTACCTTCTTCTTCTCTCTCTCTCTCTCTTTTAAATATTTATTAATTTGTTTGAAAGGCAAAATATCAAAGAGAGAGAGAGGGAAAGGCAGAGAGAAAGAGATCCCCCATCTGCTGGTTTACTCACCACATAGCTGCATCAGCCAGGCTTGGGGAGTGGGGAGCTCCATCTGGGTCTCTGAATTTGAGTGGCAAAAACCCATGTACTTGGGTTAGCGCTCACTGCCTCCCAGTTGGATTAGCAGGAAGCTGGATTGGAAGCATGGTGGAGCCAGGGCTTGAAGCAAGCACTCCGACAAGATATTTGTAGGAGTGGGGTCCCAATGTTGGCTTAACGCACTGAACCCACTGTGCCACAGCGCCCACCTCTACCATGCACCACATTGACTTCATCCTCAAGGTTTCCTCTGTTTTAGCTGATCTTCACCTACCACCTACCAGCAAAAATCCTCGCTTCCTCAACATTCATTTGAACACAGCCCACTTTTGGATATGTAATTTTAATCTAAATCATCTTCCTCTACAAAGGTGAGTTATTTTTCTCTCTGAAGGATCCCAATACAAATGATCTTTTTTCGGAGCCCATTTCACTAAGTCATGTTACTTCTGCAGCTCTTTCCCTCAGGAAGCTCCGTGCAGTATGGCCCCAGATCTCATTCATGCTTATTCATGTTTATTCTTTGTCCATCCCTGTTCCAGGCTTCTGAACATAAATGACAGATATAAATATAATTCATATATGTTAATTTATCAAATAAATTAAGTGAACATAACTAGATTATGCTTACATAAATCAAATTCTGAAATTATTGTCTAACCATTATAGCTATGGATAAAGATGTTCAGAAGTATGAATTTCTTGCCCATTTATCATGATACCATTCTAAATATTCAAAGGTAAGTAGTTTACCACTTTTTTTTTTTTTTTTTTTTTTGGACAGGCAGAGTGGACAGTGAGAGAGAGAGACAGAGAGAAAGGTCTTCCTTTTGCCGTTGATTCACCCTCCAATGGCTGCCGTGGCCGGTGCGCTGCGGCCAGCGCACCGCACTGATCCGATGGCAGGAGCCAGGTACTTCTCCTGGTCTCCCATGGGGTGCAGGGCCCAAGCACTTGGGGCCATCCTCCACTGCACTCCCTGGCCACAGCAGAGAGCTGGCCTGGAAGAGGGGCAACCGGGACAGAATCCGGCACCCCGACTGGGACTAGAACCCGGTGTGCCGGCGCCGCAAGGCGGAGGATTAGCCTAGTGAGCCGCGACGCCGGCCATTTACCACTTTTTAAAACTATTTTAATTCAAGGGTCCTCAAAGAGCTTTCTTTGTCCACTGAAAATAATCTTGAGCTCCAAAATTATATGACCAAAACATTATATCCTCATCACCACACTGCTATGAGGATATTTCAAAAGCTTATTTAAAAAGGAGGGGGCTGGCATTGTGGTGTAACAGGTTAAGGCACCACCTTTAGCACCACATCCCTTAGGAGAGCCGGCAGGTCCATTTGAGACCCAGCTCCCTATATTGCACCTGGAAAAGTGACAGAGAATGGTCCAAGTCCTTGGGCCCTTGCACCCACATGGGAGGCCCAGAAGAAGCTCCTGGCTCCCGGTGTCAGTCTGATTCATTTAGGGACTGATCAGCAGGTTTAAGCTCTCCCTCTGTCTCTCCCCCTCTCTCTGTATCTCTACCTTTCAAATAAATAAATCTTTAAAAACAAAACAAAAAATAAATAAAATAAAGAGAACTAAAAGATACTTGTTCTGGTGCAAAAATATTTGAAATTCACACATAGCTTTTAAAATACACATTTTCTGTGAATTGTGAAGACCCCTCGTATCTTCAAAGTTAATTAATCTCCTGGAATCCCTGTCATCGTTCCTAATAGAATTTGACAGAGATCTAAATTACAGCCCACAATGTTCTAGAGAAATGATAGGACGAGTCGAGGCCATGGAGATACAACTCTAGGAAAATTTCTACCATTTCTACCACGTACTTGAAGGGCAAAATCTTGGCAAATAACCAAGCGTTTTAATTTCTACTTGTCACTTTGAACTTGGCTTTGTGGCCTGTTGTATTTGCCAGATTCTAACAAATTCACCATATTTTGCAGACTTTTTCCAGTGACATAAAGCACAACCATAGGCTCTTTATTATGTCCTAAGTCTCATTCACATTTTGGTTCTGACTTTCTTTTATGTTTCTTCTGCCTAACTTTTCTTCCAACTTCTGTCTCTTCAAGTCCTTCATGACAGGTCATTATTTCCGACCATGAGGAGTAATAACAAGTTCTTTGTGATAAGTACAATCTAGTCGTTCATAAGATCAAATTCTTAATAGCGAGTTTATTTCTCCAGCAGTGGCTGTGTGACTTTGGATTCATCATGTATTTCTAGTGGATGTAGTTACCTCATGTGAAATATCTACTTTATGGGCTCCTGTGATGTTTAAATGAGGCATTGCAAAGCTCAACATCAGGTATATAGTAAATGCTCATTTATGATGAGTTCTGCACTATAGGACATCTTAAGTTTTGGTCCCAAAGGCCAATTTAAGTCTTTATCTGGAAAATCTTTGATCCTGCAAAGCAGGAAGCATCTTATTCATGGTTATATTTCCAGACTGTTGGAGACCTCATAAAATAAAATGTATAAAATGTAGAAGAGAGCCAAGGTAAATTTAAACCTACTATGTGTCGGGTCTTTCCCTAATCGTTTTGCATGTTTTCTCACTTGAACATTGCAGTAATACTCGCAGGTAGCTGTAATTGCCTTCATTTTTTTCCAAAGATAAAAGCAGGATCGTGAGAGCTGAAATAGCTTATAATGTGTGAGGTCGCAATGCTTGTAGGTGCCAGACAGCAGCCCAGGGGCGTCTGCCTTCAAATTTATGTTTTGTTTTTCTAAAGAAAGTCTGATATTGGGTATAGACCAAGCTGTCTTTCCTGAAGTGTGTTCTGTGGGTCATTCAAAGGGATTATGAGGTGAGTCGTTTATGTGATTAACTTAGTTGGGGGAACACCAGATTGCAATAATAAATAAAATATACCCTTTCTTTACAGGACTTCTCAGAACCCTGAGTGAGTGAATACAGGAAACCTTTAACCACCTGGGATTTAGAGAGCTACTATAGTTGGTCTTCCATAGGGCAGTCTGGGGAACCTGATCTAGGGAAATGATATGCAAACAAACGTCCACCTGTTCAGCTAAAGGACACAGTATTTCAACCTATTTCTACCTTGTTTACCAAAATAACCTCAGATCAAATCTGCTTTTTCGGTTCACATGTACTGCCCATGACTAAATTGTGTCAGACGCATTGGCATCCTCTGCAAATCTTACCGTGGCACTTAATGAGGACAGATCTACACAAAACATAAATTTCCGGGGGCTTTTTCTCCCAGTTTATTGTGCCAGCATGCCTGCCAGGTACCAGAGCCCCAGAGATCCAGCTGCTATAAACCACCCAAGAAAGGTGATCATTGAATAGATTAAAATGTCTGGAAATTATCTAAATGTGGACCATTAGATTAAATGAAGCAGCTACAGTATAATGCCCTGATGGCTCCAGGAACTTTATTTAGATTATAACGGTGGCGTTGCTGTACAAATCATATGATTGAGGAGAATATTACGATTCCTATTCCCCACCCCCTTACACAAAGGGTTTGCAATTGAAATTCCTCTAAGGCTTAATAAACAGTTACCTCCAAGAAGGCACTTTGAAACTGACTTTTCTAGACCAATCTGCATTTCGATGTGGTTCAGAGCAGAACCTTATCTCTGTTTGGCATGTTTGCAGGAATAACAATGTTTAAATAATGTCTGAAATGGAGCATAAAAATCCTTTGTAACTCAAATGGACATATTGAGAAATCTTAAGCTTCAGCTTACATTACCTTTTTGATATTTCTTTCAAAGACTGACAGTAAGACATCATCACTTCCAGAAAGTAACTCTCCAAGAGCCCTGTGCATATTTTTTGATGTAGTTCTCTCTTGCAAACTTGGCATCACTCTAATAAATGCCAATTTGGGAGCCGCACTGGTTAGAGTTTTAAATTTTTCATCAAATTCTATGTGAAACTGAAGTAGTTTATCTACTTCTTTCTGTCTAACCTGATCACTGTAAAAAGTAGGAAAAAACTACATTTGTGTGTCTTCAAAAAATAGTTCTTAATTGGAGTCATTTAGGAAGCTCAGGATGAAATCTTTATGGCAGAGAAAATGGTCAAGCAAGGTGGTTCTCCACCCTCCTCCCCTTATGTCGAGTATTCTTCTGCCCTCTTGCTAGATCAGTTTATTTTTT